TATTTTTAGTTATCCAGATCATTTCTTTCTATTTTTAGTAGAGACAGGGTCTCGCTCTTGCTCAGGCTGGTCTCGAACTCCTGAGCTCAAACAATCCGCCCACCTCGGCCTTCCAGAGTGCTAGGATTACAGGCGTGAGCCACCGCGCCCTGCCTTAGCAGGGGTTCTTAAAATGTGGTCAGTGGACTCCTGGGTTCTCTGCGACCCTTTCAGGGGATCTGCAAGGTTAAGACTATTCATAATAATACTGAGATATTTGCCATTTTCTTTGTATGTTGACATTTACACTGAGGTGCAAAAGTAATGGGGTATAGCAGTGTTGGTACTAGTAGTCATTGTATTCTTTGTGTACTCGTACTCATAGGAATAAAAAAGCACCTGTTTTCATTTAAGACTGTCCTTGATGAAGCAGCAAACAATTATTAATTTTATTAAATCTCAACGTTTGAGAATACACTTGTGAGATTGTTTGCATTATAAGCTAAGCCAACTGCTTTTTTCATGAAACACTAATTTTACTTGAGAGAACATCTGGCATAGATATGATGGTTATTCAGACATGAGTGTATTTTAGATATTTTCTCAAATATGAATGAAGTCAGCCTGTCACTTCAAGGAAAACAACTGCCAGTATTTGTTTCCATTTATAAAATCTGAGCTTTTAAGTGAAAATTAGAATTTTAGAAAACTTATATCCACTTGAGAACATCATATTACTTTAAAAAATTTTTTTTATAAGATGGGTGACGATATTAAAAAAGGTAAGGTTTTGGAATTAAAAAAATGGACAAGATTAAACTGTAATGTCTTTGGATGCACATCTAGGTGATAAAACTATGAATTAAATGTTCCAAGAAAGCAATAACTGTAGGAATAGGATGGTAATTACTTTGGGGGTAAGGTAGGGATTGAGATGGGGACAGAGTGCATAGAGTAGTTTCTGCGATGGTGGGCAAAGTTGTATTTCTTGATATGGGTAGTGGTTGCAAGGGTGTTTGCCTTAAAACAGTTCATTAGGATATGAATTTGATTCCAGAAAAAAACCCTAAAATGGTACAATAAAGGAAATGTAATCATAATTAGACTACTTGGCCCAGTGTGGGGAGTTAGCTACACTCCCCGCAAAAAATCGGGTCCCTTAGGTAGGGGTCGTCGCAAAGGACAAGAAAATAATAGAAAATGGAAAATAATGGAAGTAAAAGAATACACAGAGACAAAGGTATAGTTTTATAGATTTATAAAGATAAAAGCGGGATACTCAGGGGTCCCTACGATATCCCCATGAATCATAAGGCCCAGAATAAATTTTCACATGGGCATTTATAGGTACAGAGATTGGTTGTCAGGGGTAACAGATTTATATAACAAATAGTTCGTATTGGGTTAAAAGTCTTTCAAAAGGCTACTATAGATCCCCTAACTAATTCTGGTTACAAAGTCTTTTAAGGACAAGCTTCTAAGTTCTAAGATAAAGCTATTACTTAACAGAAGGGTTAAACAGAGATATAGTGGCTCCATATTTCTTTATCTAGTTATTGCAAATAGAGACAGGTCATCAGAAGTCAAGCAGGAACTGTCCCTTGGGCTAATTGTTTTTAGCCACAGGTATCTGTCTCTGGGCGGCCACTCTTTGATCAGCTCTCATCCCCTGATTCCACGTAGACCCTTGCTTTGTCCTTCAAAGCAGGTGAGAACCACAGAGTTGAGACCACAGCGTCACCTTGGAAAGCAGCTGCTGCTGACCTTTTGAGATGCCCTCCTGAGGTGGAGCAGCTTTTGATATGCAAACTAACGTGTTCACATATTCTTTCAGGGCGGAGCCCTGCAAAACTCCTGAGACCATTTCTGTCTCTAATATAGTAATATTAATTTATGGAGCAACAGCCCAGTAGTAAAAAAGATGTACTTAATAAGATAAACACTGAGTACTGAATTAGCAACAAATTGTGACTTAGCTGTATAAGATGGGAGGGAGAGGTAAGTGTATATGTGGGGTGGCAGAAGAGACCTAATCCTCATTAGTCTTTATTGGAGACTATGATATAACTTCTTAAACTGATAAAGAAATCATTTTATAAGAATATTTAGAAATATGGAAGTTTATGTCAGAAGAAATATCTATAAGAATTAAAAGTGGATATTTTGGGAGCAAGTATGACCAGTGGGTGAGGAGTAGTGAAACAGAGGATTGCTGTTTTTATTGTAAGGCTTGTGGTACTTTTTTGTCCTTTTTTTTCTTTCATTTCTTTGATTAAAAAATAAAATAATTCTGGGAGGCCAAGATATGAGGATCACTGGAGCCCAGAAGTTTGAGACCAGCCTGGGTAACACAGTGAGACTCAGTTTCTACAAAAAAATAATAAAAAAAATTATCTGGGCATGGTGGTACGTACCTGTAGTCCCAGCTACTTGAGAGGCTGAGGCAGGGGGATCACTTGAGCCCAGGAGTTTGAGGTTGCAATGTGCTGTGATGATGCCCCTGCACTTTAACCCAGGCAACACAGTGAGGCTGTATGTAAGAATTTAATTAATTAAAAAACAAATATTAATAGTACATTACCAGCACCTCAGCACTTGTGCCCTCTTCCAGTCACTGTAACCTGTAAAAGGTTACCACTTTCCTGACTTCCTGATCTTTAATACCATGGATTAGTTCTGGCTTTTCTGTTCAACATTATATTTGTAAAATTCAGTCATAATTTTATATGTAGTTATAGTTTATTCATTCTCATTGATGCAATAGGTGCTCAATGTGTTTTTTGTTTGAATGAAGAGGTGTTTTTTGGAAAGAAAATCTAACTATTCTTGTTTCTGTTTATTATCTGCTATATTTCTAGTTCACGAAGCCTGGAGCTGAGAACTCAAGAGACTACCCTGACTTGGCAAAAGAAGCAGGTAATACAGAACGTTTAGATCTTTGAATAGTCATATTTTATGGTGTGGTCTATCTTGATTCCATAGGTAGCGCAGCCTTGCAAGCACAAAAGGAAGCCCAGTCAAGGGAGAAGAACCTCCATGAAGAATTGTCCAGTGGCTCACTAGAAAAGAGAAAGGGAAGAGCTTGGGCATTCTTAGCAGCTACATAGCCAGAAGCAGACAGTGGCTTATGATTTTATGTGCTATCCATCTGTTTGTTGGGATGGTTAAGGGTTGTGTGGGAGAGAAAGGTATGCTCATTAAAAGGGATAATTTCATTCTAGTGTGTGTTCACCTTAGGAGATATAAAAAAATTAGTGTCTTCTGGGAAGAGGGATAATCACATTTAAAATATATTGAATACCTGTATGGTGGTTTTCCTCTCTTCACTTCATTGAGCCAACATAGAGAATTCTTTTTCTCTCACTAGGCTGCTATATGACTAAGTGAGGTGATACAGTTTGTTATTGTTTATTCTGATAAGTGTTAGGAATGTTAAACAAAGGACTTCGGTGAATACTATTGAGTGGAACTCAAAGGAAGAAGGATCCACAGGTGTATGGGTCCATGTTCTCTAAGCATTCAGCATGCTTCAGAGACACACACCTGGGCCAGGCTGCAGGTGGCTGAACTGTGGGTCTAAGTTCCAGCGAAGAAGTCCCCTTTCATCATTCTCCTTCTCTCTCTCTCTCTCTTTCTTCTCATTCACTTTTTTTTAAAGAGGACAAGCATGAGAGCTTCTTTACATGGTATATATAAACAAACCAACAAATAAATAAATAAATGTTTTAGATTCAAGGCCAGGTAGTCTAAGATTAGGTGCCAGTTGTTTCAGGGAATTCTTTGAAATACCTGCTTCCTAGCACTTGGAGACCTTGGGAGCTCTTTGCTTCCATGAGAAGTTGTTAGGCATAGTCCCTTTCTGAGGGAGCCTCCCTGACCCATTCCTAATAGCTTGTTGCCAGGCAACCCAAAAAAGTTAACTGTGGTTCTTCCCTAGATAATCCTGCTTATCTCCAAGAGTACCCTGTGCACCCAGTGCATGTATATTTAGATTTTACTTCAACACTTATTGTTTTGTTTTGAGACAGGGTCTTGTTCTGTTGCCCTGGCTAGAGTGCAGTGGTGTCATCATAGCTCACTGCAACCTTAAACTCCTAGGCTCAAGTGATCCTCCTGCCTCAGCCTACCAAGTAGCTGGGACTACAGGCATGTGCCTCCATGCCCTGCTAATTTTTTTATTTTTGGTAGAGACAGGTGTTCCCTCTTGCTCAGGCTGGTCTTGAAATCCTGGCCTCAAGCAATCCTCCCTCCTCGGCCTCCCAAAGTGCTAGGATTACAGGTGTGGACCATTGCACCTGGCCAGATTTTGCTTCAACACTTATTATTCAACTCAATATTTAAATATTATTATGTGAGGAATCAGAGCATCTCTGCCCCCCTAGAGGAAGATTCAAGAGATTTGATTAATTGCTATTGGTTGTTAGGGTAGACACTATTCATTTAATGTTTTTTAAAAATATGACCCAAAGATTCATACTTAATGTTTATCTTCTGTGTTGATAAACATGCTGCTCTTGACTGTGTTCAAACAGCAACTCCCTTTCTCTGAAGTGGGAGATGCTTTGGTTTTCTAAATATTTTTTGTCCCATTTCTTTTATTTCATTAAAAATTTGGGGAGGTTACTTTAGTGTGTGTATATTTTGATTATAAAATGGTAATATTGAAGTTATGAAGTTTGAAACTAACTGTGGGGATTGACTAGTAATAAGATATTCAGTTTAATTTACTGAGCTTGTTTTGATTTTGCAAGCAACATTAGGAGAATAAACACCTTTTAATAAATGAACCTTATTTCTTTATTTTTTTTTAGAGACAGAGTCTTGCTCTGTTGTTCAAGCTGAAGTACAGCGGCATAATCATAGCTCACTACAACCTCAAACTCCTGGGCTCAAGCCATCCTCCTGCCTCAGCCTGCTCAGTAGCTAGGACTATAGGCATGTGCCACCTCACCTGGCTAATTTTTAAATTTTTTGTAGAGACAGGGGTCTTGCTATGTTGCCCAGGCTAGTCTCGATTTCCTGGCCTCCTGAGAGCCTCCCATCTCCAGCCTCCGAAAGTGCTGGGATTACAGGTGTGGGCTGCCATGTCTGGCCAAACTTAAAACTTTTAAAACTTAGATTTTCTCTTAAAAATACTCCTTGCTTCTAATTATGTAAGGAAATGAGAAGTACAAAGGGATGACTTCACTCATATTTCACCTAAAGTACCTTAAGACTACATCAGTCATATTTAGTTGAAAATTTATTCAAGCACAACTTGAAGGTAAAATCACCCAAGATTCTGAAAATGATTTTGTACTCCGTTCTCTCTGGACTCATTTGTTGACTATGGTGGTGAGGCAGGGGGATTGGTTTTTTGGAACAGTAGATCCAGAAGTCTTACTCTCTACTTCTGTAGACCTGTTATAGGAGGGGGTTCTGCTACCATTTTCTTTCCTGTTATTTCCTAAATGCTTAGAATGGAGGAAAGCACAAGAAGCAGAATTGTGTCTTGTCACTTCCATTATTTAGGGACTTCTGCTCTTTATATATTGCTCCATCCTCCTTTCCTTCAGAGAAAGGTTGGGGATCCCTTTACACCTAAATGCACATGACACTCATTTGAATGATATAGCAGCACCATGGAACTCTTTGAAACTATTTCAGATAGTTAACTTCTATGCTTCTTTTGTTTTCTTACCCTTTTAACGTTCTTATTTAATAGTTATTTTAATCTGACAGTTTATGCAGAAAATCTGATGTTAGCAGAAAATGTTCAATAAATAATGAGTGTATCCTGGGCTGCGAAGGATTCAGAATGGTGTGGTGTACTAATCTCAAGGTTCTTACTGTCTAGAAGGGAAAATAAGGAAAATTCAGATAGAAAGTGAGTAGACTGTGAAAGGTACAACATGCTGTTGTCATTTAAAGGAGGGACAGAGTACTGGCTAAAAATTATCTTTTTGTAAGTCATTCTTTCCCACTGATTATAGGAGCAATGTATATGTTTTGTTGGAACAAAGAATTATATAATAATAAAAAGAAAATTTTGTGACCCAGACCTAGTCACTATCAACATTTTAGTGTTATTCTATTTTGGTACTTTTTCCTATGGCTATATGGGATCATATTCTATAAGTAGTTTCGTATCCTAATTTTTTTGTTTTTGTTTTTAGAGACAGGGTCTTGCTATGTTGCTCAGGCTGGAGTGCAGTGACTATTCACAGGTGCGGTCATATCGCATTATTTTTTTTTGTTTTTGGAGACAGAGTCTCACTCTGTTGCCCAGGCTAGAGTGCTGTGGCATCAGCCTAGCTCACAGCAACCTCAAACTCCTGGGCTCAAGCAATCCTTCTGCCTCAGCCTCCCAAGTAGCTGAGACTACAGACATGTGCCACCATGCCCGGCTAATATTTTCTATATATTTTTAGTTGTCCAGATAATTTCTTTCTATTTTTAGTAGAAACGGGGTCTCACTCTTGCTCAGGCTAGTCTCAAACTCCTGACCTCTAGTGATCCTCCCGCCTCGGCCTCCCAGAGTGCTAGGATTAAAGGTGTGACATATTGCATTATAACCTCAAACTCTTGGCCTCAAGTGATTCTCCTGCCTCAGCCTCCTGAGTAGCTGGGACTATAGACACATGCTACTACACCCAACTTGTATGCTAATTTATAAAATTTATTTTATCATGAGCCTTCCCCTTGTTACTTTTTTTTTGTTCGTTTGAGCCTGAGTCTTGCTCTGTTGCCCAGGCTAGAGTGCCATGGTATCAGCCTACCTCATAGCAACCTCAAACCCCTGGGCTCAAGCAATCCTCCTGCCTCAGCCTCCTGAGTAGCTGGGGCTACAGGTGTGTGCCACCACGCCCAGCTAATTTTTTCTATTTTTAGTAGATACGAGGTCTCACTCTTGCTTAGGCTGGTCTTGAACTTCTGACCTCAAGCAATTCTCCTGCCTTAGCTTCCCAGAGTGCTAGGCTTACAGGCTTGAGCCACTGCATCCAGCCTTCCCCTTCTTACTTAAAATTGTTTGGAAAAAGAGTTTAATTTTTGCATAATATTATATATTTATGCCATTATTTTTGTTGGACATTTAGGGTCCCAACTTTTTGATAATTTAGAAGACTTGTAGTGAACATCTTGCTAAATAAATACTCTCATCTCTGGTTATTTTTGAGGATAGAACCTAGAAGTTGAATCATTGGGATAGTGAACATTTGTAAGACTCTTGCTAAATTATTTTTCAGACTGTTCACACTCTAGAGTCTCATTGGCCATGTAGCGTTATGACATATATATTGGTCTTCATCCAGGTTCCTGGCTTATAACTTCCATAGTCCTTGTTACAATGTTGGGGAACTTTAGACCTCAGGAGCAGTCCTCAGGAAACAGAATCTTTCTCTGACCTTCTTTCACCCACCCAAGGTAGGACTCTAATCTCATTGTGGGTCAAAAGACCCTCATTCTAGAGAGGGTCCTACTCCATACCCTGGACGAAGGAATGCTGCACAGAGACCAAGAAGAATCTGAACAGACAAGCCTTGCTTGATCTAAAAGGTTTAGAGCATACCCTTTTTGTCTAATCACATTTTGACATGGTTGTCCATGTTTTAAACATGGATAACCTATGAAGTCTCCATAAAAGGCCCAAAGGACAGGGTTCAGGGAGCTTCTGAACACATGGAGGTTCCTGGAGGGCGATGCACTCAGGGAGGGCATGTGAGTTCCACGGCCCCTCTCCCATACCTTACATCTCTTCATCCATATCCTTTGTAATATCCTTTATAATAAACCAGTAAACGTAAGTGTTTCCCTGAGTTCTGTGAGCTGCCCCCAGAATTAATCAAACCCAATGAGAGGGTCATAGGAACCTCAATCTGAAGCCAGTCTGTCAGAAGTTCTGGATACCTGCCTTGGTGCATGGTGTCTGAGGGTTGCCAGTCTTGTGGGACTGAGCCCTTACCCTGTGGGAGATGATGCTTCATCTCCAGGTAGATAGTGTCAGAATTGAATTGGAGGACACCTAGCTATTGTCCACTGCTTGGTGTGTGGGGGAAAACCTCCACATTTGGTCATAAAAGTCTTCTGTGTTGTTGATTGTCATGGTGTGAGAGGAGAGGAAAAACATGTTTTTAGAGTTTTTCCCGAATAGGCAACATATGAGAATGTTATTCTTAACATAATCTCACCAGCATTATTATAAGTAAAACATTTATTTTTTACTTGTATACTAAGCAGGAAAAGATAACTTGTAGTCTGACCAAACTAATTGCATAATCAATTGTATATTTTCTTAAGTTAAAAAAATTCAAATATATTCATATGGTTAAGAAAAAAAAGAGTACAAAATGGCTTATAATTCTCAGGCCTGTTCCCCAGGGATAACCTCTTTTAACTGTTTTGGTTTTTTTTTTTTGCTTTAGTTCTTCCAATGATTATCTAAATGCTTATTCTACCATGCTTATTTTATTAATATTTCTTTCTTTATTTATTTATTTTAGAGATAAGGTCGTGCTCTGTCACTCAGGCTGGAGTGCAATGGCATGATCATAGCTCACTGCAACCTCCAACTCCTGGGCTTAAGCAATCTTCCTGCCTCACCCTCTGAAATAGTTAGGACTACAGGTGTGCACCACCACACCTGGCTAATTTTTCTGTTTTTTGTAGAGACAGGTCTTACTCTTGCTCAGGCTTGTCTCAAACCCCTGGCCTCAAGTGATCCTCCTGCCTCGGCCTCCTATCGTGCTAGGAATTACAGGCATGAGCCACTGCTCCTGGCCCACCATGCTTACTTAAGTTTTTGACTTACCAGTTTTTAGGTATCTGTTTGCTCCTCGCTGTCGTAGATGAGGATTTAGCTCGGGGATTTAGCTCATGATTTTTCTCCAAACTCACTGTTTAGTTTACTTACCTGGTTTTTCTTAGTTCTTCCACTGGTCATTTCCACAACTTTGGATGGCATCCTTAAAGCTTCATTTCTTGTTCCCTAGACAGACGTATCTCTTGACCTTGGCTTTGTTATTTTTTTTTTCCCAAGAGAAGGGATCTTGCTCTGTTGCCCAGAGTGCAGTGGTGCAATCACACAATCATAGCTCACAGCAACTTCAAACTCCTGGGCTCAAGCAATCCTCTTGCTCAGCCTCTCAAATAGCTGGGACTACAGGCATGCGCCAACATACCTGGCTATTGATCTTGGCATTGTTAAGATGGGTACATTAATGTTACCTGCTCCTGGAAATGACATTCTCATTTTGACCTCTAGATGTGTGATGGAGCCACAGAGATGAATAAGACAAGGACCTTATCAGTAAGGAGTTTTAAGACTCTTAGGATTTAATATATTTATAGTTAGGTGTGCAGTTATGACAGAAAGTGTTAAGTAACAAAAAGGAGATATGGAAAAATGATGTAGTGGCTTAGAGGAAGAAATGATTACCTCTGAAAGGAAAGATCTAAGATGGTTTGATGAAGGATTTGTCATTTGAATTGAACATAGACTATATAAAGGTGTGTTTACTTCGAGAAAACTCTAAACTTAATTTTTACTCACCTAAAGTAAATACTTAAAGCACTTTTTGATAAAACTTTTTGTTTTTATAGGTCAGAAGGCTTTAGCTGATGCACACATCCCTTATTCAGCAGTGGACCAGGCATGTGTTGGCTACGTTTATGGTATGTGGTAAACTATGTATTCCAAAAATCATTCATCTAAATCTTGGAGCAGCTGTGTAGACAGTGCAGAGGCATTTGTGAATTTTAACCCTCAAAACTAAGAATTCATTCAACCGCGTTTGTATTGGAGAAAAAAAATCCCTCAGAATTCAAAATCTTATTCGCATTCATAGATTTCCCTGTGTGTCAGCCCGGTGTAATTTCTTTTTTGCCATTATTGTATTGCCAAAGCAGGAGATAAAGTAAAAAACATTTTTCATCTTTAAAAAAAAAAAAAAAAGAAATTACCCATGGTTCTACCAGGTAAGGATAATTATTCTTCAAAAGATAAATTTTTGCTTCTTGTTATCTTAAAATTTGTATTTATTGGCTTTTTTGTATGTAATAAAACTTTTTCATTAAGCATTTTTTTCTTTTCTTTTTTTTTTCGAGACAGAGTCTCACTCTCTTGCCTGGGCTAGAGTGCCGTGGCATCAGCCTAGCTCACAGCAACCTCAAACTCCTGGGCTTGAGCGATCCTCCTTCCTCAGCCTCCTGGGTAGCTGGGACTACAGGCATGTACCACTGTGCCTGGCTAATTTTTTTCTATTTTTAGTTGTTTGGCTAATTTCTTTCTATTTGTAGTAGAGATGGGGTCTCGCTCTTGCTTAGGCTGGTCTTGAATTCCTGAGCTCAAGCAATCCTCCCGTCTTGGCCTCCCAGAGTGCTAGGATTACAGGTGTGAGCCACCACGCCTGGCCAGCATTTTTTCTTATTAGAGAAATAACGTATGCTAATTGGAAAAAAGTGAACGACAGAAAAGCACAAGAAGAAACAAATCACCTCTAATTCCATTATTCAGAGATTATTTCCATTGATATTTTTTGCTGTATATCTTTCAGTCAGCATACCTGTGAGTATGCATGCATGTGAGATTTTCTCTTAAAGAAAATAAGGTCCTGATATATATAATTTTTTGTAATCTGCTTTTCTTGTTTTACTACATCAAACATTTTCTGCATCATTAAGGCTTCTTTTATAGCATCATTAACATTTTTCCATTATGTGTACTACTTTCTTAGAATAGATTAAATATTTACATGATTCAAAAATACAAAAGATTATATAGTGGTTATAATCATGTATAATATAGTAGTGTATGTAGTGGAAAGTGTCACTCTTATTCCTGTCTGTCTTGTGGTTCCCTTCCCTTAGACAACCAGTTTTCCCAATTTCTAGTATATATCTCCAGAGGTGATTTATGCACAGGCAGTTAAGCGTGTGGGAGTATATAATTTTCCCTTTCCCTTTGCTTTTGTTACACATATGGTAGCATAGCATAAACATTATCTTGTATCTTGTTTTTTTTTTTTTTACTTAGTAGTTCTTAGTGACCATTCCAAATCATAACATAAAGAGCTTCTGTGGTTTTTTTTTTATGATAGCATAGTGTTCCATTGTGTATATATATCATAATTAGTTTAATCCATTCCCTTTTAATGGATATTTAGAATGTTCCCAGTCTGTTCATGGCATTTAAAAAATATTTAATTGTCAAATAAAGAGTGAATATATTTAAGGTATGTAACATGATGATTTATATATACATCATTTAAGGATTACCACAATCAAATTAATTAGTACATCCATTACCACTAATGCTATTCTAATAGATCCCTAGAACTTTCATCTTATAACTGAAAGATTGTACCCTTTGACTAACATCTCTCCATTTCCCCCACTCCCTACAGCATTTTTTTTTTAATTTTTTTTTTTTTTATTTGAGACAGAGTCTTGCTTTTGTTACCCGGGCTAGAGTGAGTGCCGTGCCGTCAGCCTAGCTCACAGCAACCTCAAACTCTTGGGCTCAAGCAATCCTCCTGCCTTAGCCTCCCGAGTAGCTGGGACTACAGGCGTGAGCCACCACACCTGGCTAATTTTTTATTTCTATTTTTAGTAGAGATGGGATCTTGCTCTTGCTCAGGCTGGTCTTGAACTCCTGAGCTCAAGCGATCCTCCCAGAGTGCTAGGATTATAGGCGTGAGCCACTGCGCCCGGCCCCCTACAACATTTTTAATGATTATGTGATATTCTAGTCTTGGGGATCTCCTATAGCTTATTTAGTAGTAGTAGTAATGATATCCTGTTCTTTGGCATTTATGTTATTTCTAATTTCTAATTATTATAAAAATACTATAAATGTTATATAGCATTATAAAAAATACTATAGTAAGTATTACTATAGATGAATCTTTGTGTGTATCTATGATTTATTTTCTTGAGATGTCAAGATATCAAGATAATTCTAGAGGGGAAATTTACTGGGTCAAAGGGATGCAGATGTATTTATTGACAAGGACATCCTAAACCTTGCTGATTTTGCTGAAGACTCCTAGAGAGTTAGTTTGTTCTTTCAGATATTCCTATCATACTGCTCCAGCATGGCAGTCTTGGTGGTAGTGTTACTTGGGAGAAGAAGTCATGTATGTACTTAACATGGATCACATTTTTCTGGAATTCCCTGGCACACAGGATCTTTTAAACTTTTTTTTCTTTTTTAAAAAATTTTTTGTATAGACAAAGTCTTGCTATGTTGTCTGGGCTGGTCTCGAACTCCTGGCCTCAAACAATCCTCCCACCTGGGCCTCCCAAAGTGCTGGGATTGTAGGCGTGAGTCACCATGCCTGGCCTCTTTTAAACTTCTTGGAGTTGTGGAAATCTATATGAAGAGTAAATCATGACCTTTAATGAACTGGTGTAATAGTTTTAAAGATTTGTATCTGGCTGGGCGAGTTGGCTCACGCCTATAATTTTAGCATTTTTGGAGGCCAAGGCAGGAGGATCACTTGAGTCCAGTTTGAGACCAGCCTGAGCAACATAGCGAGAACCCTTCTTTACAAAAAATAGAAAAATTATCCCAGCATTGTGTTGTGTGCCTGTAGTCTCAACTTCTTGGAAGGCTGAGGCAGGAGGATTGCTTGAGCCCAGGAGTTTGAGGCTGCAGTGAGGAGCTATGATGGTGACATTGCACTCTAGCCCACACCACAGAGTGAGACACTGTCTCAAAAAAAAAAAAAAGAAAAAGACGTATATCTGACAGTTAAGTATTAATGAAATTTTGCTCCCTTTATTTTGTAGCCTTAGCCAGATTGAATTGTTTGCTAGTATCTGTTCATTTCTCTACTTTCCTATCTCTGTATCATGTAAAGAAAGTACACGTATATTCTTTGTTTTGAGAATCTTTTTTTTTTTTCTTTTGAGATGAGGTCTCATTCCTCTGTTACCCAAGTTAGAGTGCAGTGATATCATAGTTCACTGTAACCTCTAACTCCAGGTCTGAAGCCACTACAGGCACGTGCCACCATGCCAAGCTAATTTTTGTATTTTTTGTAGAGTGGAGGTCTTGCTCTTGCTGAGGCTGGTCTCAAACTCCTGGCCTCAAGCAATCCTCCTGCCTTGGCCTCCCAAAGTGCTAGGATTATAGACATGAGGCATCATGCCAGCTGAGAATCTTTTATGTTTGCAAAGTAAATGATGGTTAATGCTAAAACTGTTTCTGAGTAAGATGTTAGTAGTGTATTTTATTGTCCTTCACATGTTGTATGCTAGGCCAAAGTCATAATAATACTGAAGAAAAAACATCTCGTAGTATTATGTTGCATTGCAGCTCTGTAATTCCCATGTTGTAGGTGCTAAAGTTTTTGTTTGTTTTTCTATTCAGGTGACTCTACCTGTGGGCAGAGGGCTATTTATCACAGTTTGGGACTGACTGGAATTCCTATTGTCAATGTCAACAATAATTGTTCTACTGGTTCTACTGCTTTGTTTATGGCCCGGCAGCTGATTCAGGGTGGTGAGTAGTGCTTGTCTAGTGTACTTAAATAAATGTGGGATTATTTGCCCCTTTTAATCATTTATCCACACGGTCATTAGAGGAATTGCCGTATTTTGTATTTCTTTAAAAAAAGTCGTTATTTTTAAAAAAATTAATTAATTAATTTTTTGGAGACAGGGTCTTGCATTGTTGCTCAGGCTGGAGTGCAGTGGCACGACTGTAGCTTACTGCAGCCTTGAACTCTTGGGCTCAAGGGATCCTCCTGCCTCAGCCGCCCAAAGTAGTTGGGGCTATATGCATAAAAGCTTTATTGAGATATAATTCACACCCCATAACATTCACCCTTTTAAAGTGTACAGTTACAGTGTTTTTTAGTATATTCACAGAGTTGTGTGTCTGTCACCACTCTCTAATTTTATTAGACTTTTATTACCACAGAAAGAATCCCTGTACCCGTTAGCAGTCATTCCCCATTTTCTCCTTCCCTTAGTCCCTGGCAACCACTGATCTACTTTCTCTCTTTGTAGATTTTCCTATTCTGAACATTTACGGAAATGGAATCATACAACACATGGCTTTTTTTTTTTTGTCTTTGAGACAGAGTCTCACTCTGTTGCCCGGGCTAGAGTGCCGTGGCATCAGCCTAGCTCATGGCAACATCAAACTCCTGGGCTCAAGCGATCCTCCTGCCTCAGCCTCCC